GCCGGCGGGGGCGTGGAGGGGCGACTTCCGTTATGCCTATTGCCCCCGCGCCCCGCATCCTCCGCCCCGCGGTCATAACTCATCATCACCGCGCGGGGAAAACACCCCCAATTCCGCGAGCCCAAACAAAAATAAAGATTTGTGTGAATTATATCCCTTCGTTTTATCAAAAGGGGGAAAACATTTTAAGATACAAAGAAATATAAATCCGAGGACGTTTGTCTTTTGGTTATCTCAAAATCCTGAAGCTTTAAAGTTAGCAGGGTTTTACAAAAATAAACAACGTCAAACGAAGAGACTTTGGTTTATCATCGTTTAGAAATGAAACCATAAAACATACGATAAGTTCTATTTATTCCATACAAAAAGTATTATTATGCAATCTGTGTACATACAAGCGCGATTTCGAGTATCAATTCACGCACATCTTTATCAACAACAAATGCAATGACCATGAATATAGTTGATCAGAATAATGACAATTTCATGGTTAGCGCCTGATAATTTTATCTTTAAAAATACTTACATTTATACTGATTACAAATGTCACAGATAAGAAACGATCAATGAACTATTTGGATATTTTTAATCTAATCTATTGCAGATCTACCAATAGATATTCCTATTAAATTTTATGTGTTTTAGTCAATTAACTGTCAGTGTCTTTGCTGTTTGAAGAACGTAATATAAAACTATTGAAATCATTAGAATTACATTTATTTGTTTATAACTAAACTAGCTGTCGTCCGCACCTCCATCCACAACATTTGCCAAATTTCAGCGAGATCCATGCCGCTATACTGGAGATACCTTCTAACAAACATCTATCTACACACCCAAACATAATACGTATTCTTGGGTCGAAAAGGTAACTTAGTCTGAACGTTCCGCTCAATTAATTGCCTACAAATCGTTCAACTTGTTAGAAATAGATAATTTCAAATGTAGCAGGCGTAACAAATTCCTTAAACCGTTACATGCTAGTATTTAATGCGTTTAGTACTTACTGTATCTAATTAGTAAAACTTGCACGTATTCGTTTAGTACTTTTCCGTGTATCTACACGTGCGGGCTATGTCCTATTAGTAGTATCTTTGGCAGGCAGCCGACCGAAAATTTCTTCGCGATAAGTACAAATGTATGTTTCTATACTCTCGCGCAACTCAACCTTATATTTCGATAATTCGTACGCAATTGAAAACAATTCCAACGTTGAAGAATCTATTTTGCTTTTACCATTTAAAACTTATAAGTTACTAGCTGTCGCCCGCGACTCCGTCCGCGCGGATATATAAAAAATCTTAATTAGTGTATCGCACCCATCCATCAATCCACATCACATCCATCTAAACATTCGCATTTATAGTATTATTAAGTCAATTAGAAAGCAGCTCTTCAAGGCATAAGTTCGAAAAAATAATATATAAAAAATTAATAAATAGTATCCTATGTCTGTCTTCTGGCTCTAAGCTACCTCCTCACCAATTTTCAGCCATATCGGTAAAGCCCTTCTTGAGTTATAAATAGTGTAACTAACACGACTTTCTTTTATATAATATATAGATTTTGATTTTAACTTAAATATGGTGACCGATGATTTAAGTTCATGTCTATCTTAAGTCCGAATGTAATTTTACATTTTCCCTTATGAAAATAAAGTCTTTGTGTATTAAATCTGAAAGCTGTTCACACGATATTTTATAACACAATTTGCGCTACAAATTTTTTCAATGTCAAGATATTTAATATATTATGATCTTTATGGACATAGAAAAAAACATGGTGTGAATTTAAATCAATACATAAATTAATTAAAAACTCTTAATTTTGAAATTATAATAAGCTTGATATTTACGAAAAGTAGATTCATTAACGATTGTAAAAGTTTACTTAATAACGTCCAAATTGAATTGTTTTATTTATAAGAAAGGGATAATTATATTCTACGTTGGATTATTAATAATATGCAGTCGAGATAAAGGAGGCTGTTTTTGTCGGACGTCAAATCACAATACGTCGGACGTAAAACACTCGATTTTAATAATTTACGGATTCTAATAAATAAAGATTTACAGAGGGAGTCCGTTGGAAAAACGACCGCCCGGGTTGCATGCATTAGAATTCTAACTCTATTGTATTTAAGCATACATTCTTTTTTGCACCTCACTCGAATATATTTGCAATTTTAGTTCCATGGATTTATCATGGTAGTTTTTGCGTAACACAACGACTTTCGGCTTTCTTTCGTTGATATAATGAGGTTGTTTATGTGTTTTATCATTGACTATAATTCAAACAGCTCTGTTAGTTGGACATCTTTGACCTGAACTGCTGCAAAATGTAAGAACAAATTTACCTAACATATACCTACCCAAATGACTACGTTAGTATTTAGTTGAATATAGTAAATAAATAGTACATAAAATCACTTTCATATTAGTTAGGTTTACAATTTGCGTTTATTGATAACTAGCTCACGCCTAGCTCAACATTATTAGTAGCCTATGTGTTCTTCCAGACTATGTGATCCCTGCTGCCTTTCTGAAGATACCTTCTAACAAACATTCATCCATCCATCCAAAGATTCTCATTTATAATATTAGTAAGAAATCGCTAGCAAGATTATAAACTAAAGTTCACACAATGTAATGGTGATATTAAATCTTATTCGCCTAGTAAATTTCTAGTGTATTAAAAAAGGTAGAGAAAGCGAGGGTTATGAGGGCGGGGCCAGGTGTCAGTCGCAGGCAGTAGATGCTATCTCTGCCGGGGTGACGGCTAGCGGGTAGCGGGTTGAGACAGGCGCTGGCAACGCTCTTCCCCGGAACAAAAGGGGGCTTGTCGATTTTCGCTAATACGGTATTCGTATATCTTTATTCACTTTGGCTTCAGTTGTTTTTATTTCTGAATTAATTTATAGTTTAAATAGTGACTAATCTATGAAAAACTACAAATGCAGAAAATGTTATTCCTTAAGTTTTACAAGACCAAAGAAAAATGCGCTGTGTGTTAAAAGCATCATTCTTGGACGGTCATCTTACAAAAACTACCCGAATTTAAGATCAAACTAAGAAAAACGTACAAAAAACAGCATCCGAATGTCGGTTCCCTACACCATATTTAAAATAATACATAATCTGTTTACATCGAATTATAGGTTCTTCAACTTCAACAACCCGGGACCCTCGCAGTCGCACTTGAGGTTGGCCACCGATGGGGTTTTAGTGAGTAAGAATCTCACATAACTCTGTCTTTCCCCCAAAAGGCAGGGTATCTTACAAAGATTTCCCCTCGATACAAAAAAAAGCTTTGAACTTGGACGAAAATAATTTGACTGGTACATCATTTGTGACTAAATTCTAGATAGTTACGAAGATAGTTTATTACTGCTAAAGTTAATTACAAGCTTACGCCATTAACTTGTGCGTCACAAAGACAAATGATATTATTGCGAATGTTTTTATGTCTTCATCAACGGGCGATGATGACGAGTTAACTTGTACTACATAAATATAGCTCATTGCGGACGTTTATGTCCCAATTTATGTGTTATTTATTGCATAAATTCTTGCTCTCATTGTATATTTGTGTTTAAACTAAGTGGTTTTTATAATTTAGATCCATAATGAGCGATGCGGTCGTTCGCCATCTTTAATTTGTTTTCGCGATTGGCGACTCTTGAAATGAAAAAGAAATTTTATGCATCTTACCATTTAAATTTAGTTTTATCCAAATATAAAATTATTAATGTGAAATCTTAAAAGAATGAGTTTTTATGTATCAATTTTGTAAATCTGTAGGTCATTTTTTTATACCGGCTTGTTATTAAAAATTCCATCCATGCCATAAATGACAATGTTCTTTAAGATTATACTTACTTACAATACTAAAAAGTTTTTTTTTTATTTGTCTCATTTTCTTCATCAATATTAGATTAATAGGTATTTAAGTAAGTCTAATTTTACGATTATTAATGTGAGTAAATTTAGGCATATTGAACTTTATGTTAACCTCTAACAATATCTTGTATACAAAACAAAAGATATGAAGTGGACTTGGGAACATGAACGTAAAGTGATTAACTCATTTGGCCAATTATACTTTGTTCTATGCGGCCTGGACTGAGCTTATTTCATACCCTCGTGATATGTTAACATGTATTTTTTACCGAAGAACATTTAAAGAGGCAATTGCAAGTGCATGTGCAGGAGTGAGATTTATAATAAGAAAACGCTCCTACCGCGCATGCACCATAAAGATCTATAAATCTTTTAAGTACTGGATCGGCCAATCCCTGTTGAGAAACGATAAATCATCCCCACGGACAGTAAAGTCAGATCGAAGACGCAGGCCGTCTCTCTCGCACCCGCGACAACCAGTACCCCTGAACATCATTTATCATTTCTTTCTCTCGTTTCTTCTCAATGATAAATTCAATTCTCTTTCGGGATATGATTGTTCTTCGTTTTGTTGTTGTGTTTTATTGTGGGCACCGTCACGGACTTTGGTTTTTCGATCGGATTCCGATCAAAATGATCGCGAGAATTGGATTTCCATTTTAGATTTGGTGGCGCGAGTGATCGATCTCAGCGGCCGGGATACTCCGCAACTCAACCGGCACGATGCTATTGGTGTTATTTATCATTTGTAAATTATTGATTATATTATACAATTCTATGAATTATAATTGAGTTAAAGTTTAAACTACTTTAGATATCGTGCAATATTAATATTTGTGCTTTCCTAATTATTTTATTAGTTTTATTGTTCATCTATTTTTAGATGAACTTTCGTTTTATTGTACTTTATACATTTTGATATCACTTTAATAAAATTAATCTTAGGCTAAGGCGTTTGTGATCGGTGCTTATTTAGGTATGAGTATTTTTTTATATTATAAACTTACTCTTTGGTGAAACTGAACTTGTTCTTTGGTTATATAAATAAAATCAGGCACAAGTAACTCAATTCGAAATATGTTTTCTTTATTTAATTCCTTTGCTATTTACATGGCTTTAGAAAAAGACAATCAACAAATTCTAAATTTAAACTTAAAATACATTCTTTTCTTTCAGTCATTTTTAAAATATAGTTAGCATTTACAAACTTTCATATCTATCTATACAGCCGATCCGTGAAAAAATATTTGTTACTTTTTAATATATAATAGTTATACAGAAATCGATAATACATAATAATATCAAAGACGACACAGATAGTTATTTCATTAAATCAATCCCTTACAACTATTATCACTGGGCATTTGCTTATTATATTTTTACAAGTTAACTATCTAAATACCTCGAACTTATAAATTTACAATTATACAACCTATCTATCGTATTTTATTGGACTTGGTGCTTTGGCCATACTGGTCATAATGTGACCTTATTTAGTTACAATACATTCGAATTGAAAAACAAATGAAGAATATAATAAGTACATAGACAATTGAAAAGTGTCTTTAGAGACCGTGGTACATGTTTATAGAATAATTTGACAAGGAAACGGTTTTGTACATCATAAAAGACTTATAAATTACGAAAGGCTGCAATAAATCACTGTCAACAATACGGTTGACGAAATCCTCGGTGCATATCGAGTTGCTTAGAAATGACATTAGCCGACGGACAATGCTTGTGCGGGCACATGCCTCGCCTCCTCCAACATAATAAGACACTTCCCGCATAGCAAACGCGTACACTGTGTTTAAGGGAAATATACAACATGCCGTAAAGCTTTCAACTAGCGCTCTTTGTTAACAACTCTGTTGTTTTAACTTGTACGCACAGAAACGTGTCATCATAATTCTATTGTTGTCCGCAACAATGTTCTCGCTTACCGAATTAACTCTTCACTTACTATGTGCAGAGATCTGCTCCGACGGACGGCTGGCATATATTACATACAAATATTAAAAAATAACTTCTGACTATATACGTTAATTTTATGATTTTAATAAGCGTAATGCGAAGGCGTTTTGGCGCTTAAGTAAACTTTTCATTCCACGTTTCATTGTTTTCTTCCTTCGTTTTATCTGAACTTAGATTTAAATTTTACTATAGTATTATTCGTCGAATGAAGAGTTCCCTAAGCGCGATGTGGTCAGTATGCGGCGGCGGCGCCCGAGTGGTGCATCAAGTGATGATGGTGGTAGGGCTCCTGCGAGGGACACCACCACTCGGGCACGCCATGCGGCACCGCGGCCGTCGGCTGCTGGAACTGCGACCAGTGCCCTCCGAAGCCAATCTTGTTGTCCATCATGCCGTTGCCGCCAATGTTCGTGAGGTGCGGCGGTTGTGCGTGGTGCGGTGGCGCCGGCGGCCGATCGTATGGTTTGTGGTCATGGGGGCTGAGGTACTTGTCGTTGAGGCTTTCCAACTTGTCTGTAATGGAGGCGTGATGGTGCCCGTGGTGCGGCGCGTGCGGTTGCGGCGGTACAGGCGCGGGCGCAGGCGCAGGCGGGGCAGGGAGCGCTGGCGCGGGCGGGCTTGCGGCGCCGGCAGTGACACTAACGCTGGCGGCGGACGATGAGTCGTCGGCATCGCTGTCATAGCGCGGAGAGGCGTCTCCGGCGGCGCCGTGCACCTTCATGTGCTTGCGCAAGCTGGAGGGGTGCGTGTAGGACTTGTCACAACCGTGCACGCGGCAGTTGTACGGCTTGTCGGACGTGTGAACGTGTGAGTGTTTCTTTCTGTCCGACGAGTTGGCGAAGCGCCGGTCGCAGCCCGCATACTCACATTTGAACGGCTTCTCGCCTGCAAAAATAGATATTATGTTAAATCGTGTATATGTGGTAATAAACATTACTAACTTTGGTTACCTGAACTTGTAACCAATAGCTCGATAATTCGTTTCCTTCATGTAATCAAAAATAGTCGAGAGCTCCGAATGCAGATGTCCAATCACACAATAAATAATCAGATTTGCCCGTTGTTTATAGTTTACGAGCATAAATAAATATTCTCAACAATTGCATGGGTTACTTAACAAGCTCATAAATCATCTTTATAAGACGACTTTGTCACATCGTTGCAACAAAGCCCAGCTTTGGTAGAAACAAGTAGTGTATATTGTGCCTTAACACCGACGCCAAGGGAATGTTTACGCTCGTCACCAGATTGAGTTTTGACGTTTTGATACAAATTTAACATCACTAAAGCATTATGATGATAAACAATTAACAGGATAGTATTTGGCCAAACAGTTTGTGTTTGAATTACTTTTGTATTAGAAAATGTGTCAAGGTCTCATCTATTGTAAATATAGCGGAATAAAGAATAACCATATCAGAAATTATTTTGTATACCTTCACGCTTTTTTTGCTAATAAATTACAAGATAATGAGAACGTTAGTAAAGTCAAAATGAATTTCGCTATCTTGAAGAATGTAACAAGCATTTTAAAGGCGCCGCGATTCACGTAGACATACTTAATGAATCAATTATATAATATGATACAACTTAACGATTATTATTATTTCATAATATTGTTGTGTATATTTCGATATTGCTTTATTCTGTTCGAGACAGCTTCTCACGCATTGTGCGTATAATCATCACGAGCTCACCGAATCGTACTCTATATGAATAACATTGAATAAAATATATTACAAGTAAGCAGGCGTTCCGGCGGCGCGGCGAGGTCGGGTACACAACAAAACACTTTTCTTTGTCATGTTTACAAATAAACCTCTTCGGTTGTAATCCCCCTCATTGTGTTTGGTGCTCGAAGATCGCGTTGAGGAGGCACAGATGCTAATCTCAAGTGTCCGTTAACGCGGCAATAATAGGGCTCTTTAGGAGTTTCCTTACCGCGGATTTTTGTTACTTTGTCGAACGATGAATGAACGCATCGCACATTCTACGGCTTATTCTGAATTGTGATACTTCCTTTCTTGCATTATGACATTCGCCACTAAATATTTGCGAGTACAATGTATTGTAATCGAAGTTCGATGTGCAAATATGCGGAGAAGTACCTGCTCCCACGTACGTAGACATTATCTACCAAATTGTGGGTTTATAAAGGTAAAATAATTACCGAAACGATCGGCCGGTGATTTTATTTTGTGCGCGACTATAAAAACGTCTCGGTCCGGAACCCTAATGAGGTTAAGACAAGATAAAGGAGTCAAAAACATGTGTCGCCCGTCTAATTACTAATCGGTCTGTTCATCTCTGCTGGGTCACAAAAAAGGCCCGGAGACAAATGCTATTAGAATGGCGATGGCCTGTCGCTTGTCGCACGTGCCCGCCAAGCATTTGTCACTGTGAAACGATTTCAGAACTAATATTGTATTGTTTTACTTTTTTGATGTGGTTTCGTGGTAATATTAGTTTATAAAATTAGTTTTTTGTTAAACATAAAGTTGCGAATAAGCAGTGTGTGGGTAAAACTTGGATTTTATTACGGGCTATTAATTTAGTAACTTATGTAACGTACTTTAAAGTTTTACAATAGCAGAAAAAATAGTAGACAAAACAAATACTGTTTAGATTGCTGCCCCAACAGAGATTTGTCTCGAAAAGTAATAATTTCAAATGGGTTACATTTAAAAAAGTACCTCACTAAAGTAAAATTCAAATACATGCATAACGCTCAATACATTAGTAAAAATATTTGACGATGCAATAAGTAAGGAAAAACAGTTGCGGGGAATGTTCTTATCGTGAATTCGTTGCGAGCCGGCGTCGGACGGGCCCGGGACTCGCGGGTCCGGCGGACTCGCTGGGGTCAGATGTTTATCTTAAACGCCTGTATCACCCGCGGGAGACACTTTTTTGTAACGTTATAATCGATATGGCACGTTGCTAGTGCGTATACGGCTTTATAAAATGATATATGTCCTCAGTAATGTATCCAAAAGAAACAGACATACCAAAGCTTTTTGCCCCAATAACTCATTTTAATATTTATTTTTTAAAAAAAGAACCTGCATATTTAACAATTAAACCTTTTAATATGAGTATTCTTCTTCGAACAAGTCTGCCCAGAATTTTATTGTGAGCTTTTTCAGCTCAAAAATCTCAAGCTCTCTTGAAGTGAAATCGTTGATAATAATATTAAGTGTGGATGTAATTGAATGTAAATTTTAGTGACGATATCAAGCTTATTTTTTTATATCTTTGGTACAGTTTGCTATTAGTAACATTGTATGACAGTGTTTTGTTTGGCAAAGCTTACTGCCACTTCCAAATTGCTTCGGGTGTTGAATTACTGATGACTGTTTAAGTGCGTTCTGTTGTGAAAACATAGTTTTTAGAAACGGCGCGTTCAGGACGATTCGTAACCCGACACACCGCAGCCTTTGCACCCGGATTGTGTAAATGGCATTAGGTGAGTTTGGTGAAAAAACATCGCTTCTTCTGGTGTCAGGTTTAAAAGAAAATTGTGATATGTAAATTTGTTTGTTAATGTAGTTCGTCCGGAGATGAATTCTCTTTAGACTTGTTATAATGGATATTAGAAATCGCATGACTTTTCTTAAAGTAAAACAAGGAAATTTTTCAATGGGAAAAGTAGGTAGTATTAGAGCATAACGAAAATATTGCGTTATAAAGATTAAAATAAGTTACTTTAATCGAAGAACGAGATAAATTTATGTTTCTACTTATCATGCATTTTGTTACGACATCTTTTAATAATTGTTGACCAGTAAGACATTAAATTTTACTTGTCTTTCATCAGTACTACAAGAGAAATTTCATTGTACAATATTGACCCGAGAATGGTTATTGACTAACATAAATGTTATTGCATTGTTTTAATCGCTTAATAGCCGGCGCGGAATAGAGCGCGTCGGAGTTAATTCAATCCCGGACAGACAGGCGGTTAATGAGCGGCCGATGACTGGCCGATCACCGGCGCGATCGGCCACTCGGCCAACACGACCGCCCGACACGCCGACAGCCCACAGCCGACACACGACCCACTAAACTAATCTCTATACTAAATTATTAACAACTAAAATTGATTGTGTCTATAATGCGCGGCACGAACACGACTCGATCGATTCTTTTAATAATTTAAAAAGGTTACATCGTTTTTAAACTCGCGCTTATTGTTAAGACGCGTACAAATAAATCGATTGATTAGTGTATTTTTAATTGTCAGTCAATAAGGAGAAAATCTTTGTCTTAACAATAAATTAATCTTGTTTGATGAATTTATTTGTTTACTAGCAAAAGTTATCGATAAGTTATAACGATGCATTATGGCAAGCATATGTTTGACACTTCCTCGAAATCTTATTTCCATTTGTATAAGTATTTAAAAAGGTATTTTGTACCGAGTGTTTAATGATTTACGATGTTCCCTTTATTCGAAACGTATTTCGAATTAGAAAGATATATTAATATCTTCATTTTTTCCACATCTCAAAGAATACGGGCCCTCGGTTCGGAGAGCACAAAAAGAATAGTGCGCGGGGTCGGGCGCGGGGCGGCGCATTCGGCGCCCAACGACCGTGTGACAAGGTGCTTTATGCGGACGATTATGAGCGGACCGAATAATGTTCCGATACCCGATAAATATCTGCCAACTCATACAAAAGCATCCCAATAAAAATATAATAGTAAATGTAGCAACAACACTGGCCACAAACTGCACAGTCATATCTCGCCCGTGAATAATATTCAGAATGAAAACGTTGGGCGAGAGAAAGAAAATGTGGACAATGTTTTTGATTAAATAAATTACGATTGTTTATAAAGTTCGTTTGCACACAGTAGCCTTTTCACTCCTCTCGAAGATATGTATCGTCACTATCGGATTAAATTGTTAGAAGCTTAAAAGCTTATATAGAAATTCACTAAAACTTGACCTACACAGAAACTTGGAACCTACGTAGTTCACCTGAGGCATATTTCATTAATACCAATGGACCCATTGTCGTTTGAAAACTTGCGAAACGGTGTTTACCATGAAAAAATCTGTTTTTTTTAAATATATTCATAGTTACAATATGAAGCCAAATATACTCTACGACTTAATCGTTAGTAAAAAGCACAAGTTTTTAAACATAATTCTGCAGTAAACTGGTTCGTTTATTATGAATGCAATTTATGGAGGTTAATAAACTTATTATATCTGTGTATACATTTAAATGAGATTTACGAAATAGCTATTGGTATTAAAATAAAAAAAAACCGGAACTGAAATGGAAAACATTTCGAAGAGCTATTACGTTTCTTTATGAGATAGGAAGAAATAGTATCGCATTTAGCTGTCTAGCCGTTTTACGAGTAAATTAAAGTGCCAGTGTCGCTGTACTGGCGGAAACTGAGAACACGATTCGTCTTGCTCTGATAACTATCTGTTGAGAGTGCGAAAAAGAGACATCTCCATTTTAGTAAGCGCCGCCGGAAATCATGTTTTCTATTTGGTAGGTCTGAGCTAAAATTTTATGTCGGAAGCGGGAATTGTGTCGTATATTTTCTGTCGGAAAAAAATGAATGTCAAATTTTGTTTAGAAATGCATGTAATTAATGTTTGTTATTTCCCTAATGATATGAAAATCCATTTATCTGTCATTAACAACGTTGTTTAATAAAGATATGCTAATTAATAATAATTGTATTTTTCTAAATTATGCTAACGCGTCGACATAATGTTACAAATATTTTTAAACCAATTTATAACCTGGGAAATGGTTAACGTAGTTAAATATTAACTAACGGTTTTCCGGTGCGCTTAGACCGTAACTTAAATTATTTTATTGTTGTTTTACGTCAATTTCCATACTTCGAAAAATGTT